GCGGCTTCATGCACAAACGCGACCGAGCGCCACGCTGGTCTGTGAAAGCCGAGCTCTTCGTAAGACTTCACCGCTACACTCTTGCCCTACATTTTAGACAAAATTAGTTCAAGTATTTTTAAAGTATTTGGTTCTAAACCTGCTCTGAGCTTCAAAAATAAAAGCTTCCAAGCAAAACAAACAAACAAACAGTACAACCTGTAAAGAATTTATTTTAAAAAGTTACACAGCTTCAGGGTCCAAAAGTTAACAGTAATAATTTTGTCAGTGTGGGAACCAGTTATCTAATGAAGCCTGACCAACTCAAAACGTACACACTAGGCTGGCTCTTCCAAGTATTATTTCATCAGGGATTCAGAAAGGCCCAGATCAGAACCTGTGCATTTGGGCAAGCGCATTTCAAGTTTGAGTTTGTGATAGGCCAATGGAACCGTCTAACATACCACAACACAACAGTGAAAAAATACAAGAAAGCTGATGCATGCCTGCGGTGCGGGAGGGAAAGGGACAAGACAACTTGAATTTTCACCCTCAGCACCTATTGCTGCGGTCAATAAAACCCCCTCAAGCAGTCTCGTGAGGGAAGAAGTAAAGAGCCATCAGTACTGAGCAGAGGTAGGCGACGCTTACGATTAAGCATCAGAGAAATCCAGCCACAGTAGTCCTCAGACTGAGATCCAGACCTGGCAACGAAGACAGGAGCATGACGCTAATGCAAACTCTTACATAGGGTACGGGTGCAAGATCATCGATATTTAAGCACAGAATAGCAAGATCTTCACACGCAATGAGCAGAGACAAAACCAAAGCATCCTTCTGGTGAGAAATAGCTCCTAAGGAACAACTTGGGAAAAGTCCACTCCAAAGCGCAAAATGCACCACAGACAGTGTATCTAGAAAAGTTGAACATTTTATTGTCATTTACGAGTACACCATTTGTGATTTTAGAAATACAGACTCTTTGCAAAGCACTGAAATACAGGTGCCTTCCAACTTCTAAAACCTACATTATTCTATGTCTTAACAAACCTTTTACAATAGCAATTCAAGTTTGGCTTTTGCTGCAATGAGTTCCTCACCAAAGATGCAAAGATTTAGTTCTAGACTGCAAGACAACCAAACCCAGTTTCAAACGCCACCTGCCAGTGAGCCATCAAAACCATTACTTTCAGATACTGAGTTCTATGATGTTCTTGTACTTTGTGCCCATAATGGAGTTCACCTTTGAAAATTTTAAGTTAGAGGATGTTCCAGTTAACCATCAACTGGTATTTCCATTACAGCATCTAGAAGCAAACAGATACTAGTGCTTATGAACAGGTTATGTTGACACAAAACCCAGAGAGGCCTCCAAAAACATTCAAGGTTAAAATGAACAGTTAACAGTTGCAAAAATCTGTACATATTTTCAGTCATAACACAAGGAAACACTGGAGTATCAGTGTTTTGTGTTCTAGCTTCAATAGTGACAACTGCACTACTCCTAGTATTCTACATGTTTCTCCCTTCCCCCATTTAAATTTTATAATTGCAATCTGAATATACAGCTGTACTTACAGGAAATATTAAACAATGCACAGCGCCTTAAGCAAGTTCCATATCTGGTTTTGAACAAGCCATATAAAATAAGTGACAAAATAGGTTAAAATTGGTCCTTGATTAGGATTACTACTTTTATACAGCTTGGAAGCACTAAATTTAAAGACACACATTTATTATTAACCAGCACAAATTATTCTGTAGCTTTTTTTTCTCCTCCTTTTTTTTAATTTTAAGAGTGTGTTACAGTATCATGCATGAAAAGCAAGCTGCTGCTCCCAAGTGCAAACATGGAGTTTAGACTACATGCCTTCTCCTCAGGTTGTTATTCCTTCTTTCATAAATTTCAACACAACCAAGAATAGAAGCAGCTGACTAGCAAAACAATATGAAGTTCACCTTTTACATTGTGACCCATTCTTAAAGTAATGGAATACTTTGGACCTTTAGCATAAGGAAGGTTCAATAAACACAGCAAAGGATTTTTACATTCTTTGATTTCATTTACATCTTTAGAAAGAAAATTTTATATTTTAACTTGCTAACTAATGAATCATCAGCTGGAGACTAGTATTGAAACAGTGCAAGACATTTGCAACTTCAGGAACACTCAATTACACTGTCCTTTCACCCAAACAATGATTAGTAGAATATTGCATCAGTCCTTGATAAATAAGACAGACAAAAAGCTCATTTTAGAAGACCATTAGGATTCAAAAATCTTTTACACTTAGTGAAGAGAATCCACACACAAATATGCACAAAGGACTCCTTAACATGGACTTTATCACAACAAATGTAATCCAGCTGTAAGTCTTAGAACTAGACTCTTTATTGGTATGAAGCCGTATTTGTTCAGAGACCATGATTAGAAGCTCCATTATTAATGCTTCAACATCTGGGCTTTGACACATGAACAGCATCAGCACGCTCTCCTGTCAAGCCAGAGACCAAAAATTCAGCTGAAACAGTCCAGGTGGACTATGAGCTTAAGCAGTCCACTTACACCCTAAAACATTCCAGGCACCAAAAATCTGGCTTTCATCTTTGCATTACCTCAGTTAAGAGCGGAGCCCCCTCCACTAATGCAATATTCCAAAGACCATTGCAACTAAGAGTGTCGAGTCAGGTCTCAGCTGAAAGCTACCACCACCAAAGGACATTCATTATTTTCTTTCCCCCTCACCCCCCACGCTGCCAAGGAAGAATGTTAGAGAGACCACTATTCGGTGTGGAAAGCAGGTCAGTAGAGACTCCAAGTGTGGCTTGAGGAATCCTCAGTACCAAGCCGCTTTCCACACACACAAATTCAGTCCATCTTCTCTTTCTGGACCAGCTTGGGTGCATCTACAAAATCCTTGCCATTGTAAAGGATGATAGCGAAAGTTCCAAAGCTTGCACTTCCCCAGAAAAGCACATAGGCCAGTGTCTCAGTCCATGTATCACCTGTTAAAAGTCAGATAAACATTTTAGTTCATTATCTCCAATTACCAGAGAGAGGTTTTTTTAGTACCAAAGCAAAATATTTCCAGCCCTCCCTTAGAGATCTGCTGTCCAATGAAGTTAGAAGTCCTTCATGGGTACTGGCGTCTTTTCTTTTTCCTATTTCCTTACTTAGGAAAACTGTGTTTGTCACACAGTCCTTAGAACATTTTGAACAGACAGCTACAGAAGTCAGAGTCAAGAACTCTACTGGCACTAATATTAGAAAATTCAAGGCAAAAGCAGAAGGCAAAAACCTTCACAACTCCCAACACAGATTTATATTAGGGGGACATCCATCAGAACAGGCTTATGCCTATATCTGACTTTTCTGAACTGTCTTTCTGCCCAAAACGAGGTAGGTATTCTTCTGGGGATTCATCCGGCCTATAATAAAGCTAGATGTCTACTCAGGTGCAACTAGATTTGGGGGCAATTCACTGCCCCTTAATGACTTCTACAAGTTTTAACATTGTTTTCTATAGTACCTCAGGTTTTTCCACATTAATGATATAGTGCTAACCCTCAATCTCCAGAGCCATGCTCAAACACCTTTTGGTATGACTGAGAGGCAATTTTATACTGAATAGTTTCTGGTAACCATTTATAGAAAGTCCACACACAAGCAAGCTAATTTTGTGAAGTTATACTCAGTAGTGACTTACCAGCCATTAGCAGCCAAATAATGCACATGGAGAAAGCAACCACCATAATAATAGGCAA